GGGAGGGCTGTGGGGCCCCCTTCTCTGGAGATATTCAAGCCCCGCCTGGACAAGGTCCTGTGCAGCCTCCTGTAGGTGACCCTGCTTCGGCAGGAGGGTTGGACTAGATGACCCACACAGGTCCCTTCCAACCCCGAACATTCTGTGATTCTGTGAGTTCAGTAGTAGGACTGAGATCACACAACCGTAGTGGTTTGACTTGTAAAATGTTTTGAAAACCTCAGTAAACTACTGCTCTTTTTCCTAATCCCTTCAGGACTATTCCACATCCTACGTGCTACCCCAGTAACAACTGGTAACAAAGCCTGCAGTTGTCTATTACATACTAGTTGATCAGTGCTATTTTCATGGTGCTCTGAAGGCAGTAATCTATTCACACCAGACAAAGTCCATTCTTCAAACAGCTTTTAGTGGGAACACACTGTGAGATGATTTGCAAACAGTGAAGAAAGAGTGGATGAGTCAAGGACAGTCAGAGTAGCTCCATTCAGACATGCAGACAGGATAATGCAGTCAGCGTTTTAAAATTGCATAAAAATAGGAAAGAGAAGGGTGGAAAATCACTGCATTAATGGTCACTGCTGTAATGAGAGGGGCAAGCTTTCCCTGTGGGCCTGAAAATGGGAGTGTGAGGAGGAAGGGAAGTGCACCCATGGGCAACAGCCTTGAGAACACCTACTACACAGACAATAATTGTGAATTACGTGAACACAAAGTTTTCATTCGTTACTTCAGGCACAAGATAGCAAACATCCTGAGCCGTCCCAAACGTAGTTATATGCTGCAGCTTTGTGAAGGGAGCGTGGCACTACTTCAGTACGGAGATACGATTGCTTGCCTGCACTATGCAACAGATTTCCTCTTGGTAGTACAAAAGGACCCCTGCTTCTGTCAGCAGAGATGTGCTTAATTTGCTAGCCTGACAAGGCAGCATCTTAAGAAACAAGTGTAGGCTGAGGTGATAGGGTTGTGTTGTGGCATGAAGCAGTTCCCCCCATGTAAACTTGGTGTAAATCCTCTGACTCATTCCAGTGAGAGCAGAAGGGCCAGAAGGGTGGTGGACGATCAGGAGGAGACCGAAAAACCCACTGGAGACCAAACACCTGATCCAGATCTTGGTTACAAGTGTTCAAATCAGCTGTGGCTCCAGCAAAGACAACAGCTGCAAATTAGTACATAAATGAAAATAATATCAGGTCCAAAACAGCCAGACCCCTGCTTTTGTTTTAGACAAAATTATAGATATTATTTCTGCAGGGCCAAACACTCTGCAGGGGGACACATGGGCATATTTTTGGCTTACTGTACCTGAGGAGGCAGCATCCTTCAGCCACACTTTTAAAATGTACAAGCTATATTCTGCCACATTTGCTTCTCGTGATTTGGTATGAATAATCAAAAAATTTGACCTTATCATAGAATCATAGAACGGTTTGGGTTGGTTATGTGATGTCAGCACTGCTCTTTTTAAGGGACAAAAACATAGAGGGCATACAGATACTTCAATAATCAGTAATTTAAAATGCAGAAGAGAGAAAAATGTTTTAGAACTGCTCATTCCTCAGTTTACACTTAATTTGCTGAAGATACTCTGCTTTTGTAATGGATAATGTATTTTGGTGCCTGAGCATAGTTAGAAATCTTTTAAAATCTGATCCATAGTCTTTAACCGTAACAGAAGGAGATCCTTTCACAGCCATAAATACTCATAAATACTAATTAACTACGTTTTAATCTTTTGGCAGAGATAAGGATTGCCTAAAAATATGGGAATCATTAAAACATGCATTCATTTACAAGAATCCCTGTAATATTACATCAGAAGATTATCAGCCTTTGATGGAGTTAGCGAGTCATCCTATACCCTGCAACAAGGTAACAGTGCGATGCGTGGTGGGCTGCGTGAGGAGGGTTGGCGTGGAATGACGTGTCTGTGCAGGGCTCTGAGTGACGGGTCTTGTCCGTAATGGCTGCGAGTGTCTGTAGGTCGATGAGGATGATATTTTGCTCTTGCGCTTACTGCAGCGGTGTTACCAGCTTGGGACCCCAGTAACCCTGTTCATTCTCTGTCGCTGGGAAACATCCCTGTGTAAGGTTTGCCTCAGACATCAGTACTGAGGTTGTCCTGGTGAAGTGACAGAGATGGCCCTGTTCCCTGAGCATACGGCTCTCTGTGAGGAGCGTGCTATCATGCTGTTAGAGGCACACTGCTACCAAAAATCTGCCCTTCCATGCACAGTTCAAAAGCATGCAACAAATTAGGTATATATCCTATTAGAACTAGTCAAAACCTTGCATTCAAAGTGCTTTGCGGGCCAGACATGTCCGTTTCCATCAAAAATAACCACCTAAAAAGATTTTGGAAATGGGAGCATGGGCTGCAGAAATAAGAACTGACCCACTAATGTGAACTTGCAGCATTTCAATAAAAAACTAAGACTCCTTCATTATCATGAAAACTTTTTCTCCGGGAAAATTTCCTGACCAGCTTTAGTATAAGTATCGCTTACTAGACATTGTACCTTATTTCACAGTCACTGTTTTGGAGCAAGACAAATGACCTCGTTCATCGTTATACAAAATCCAGTCAAAATTTCCTTACCTTGGAGGACACCTTGTTGGGTTATATGGCTGATAGGGTTTCATGGTGTGGAGACCTCTCTGCCCCAGGTAATAAGTCCTATTTTTTTGCAAAACAAATATAAACACTGCAATTCCAGGTTATTCTTTCGTCTTCTATATCTAGCCCTAAGCACAGTCCTTTTCAGGTATTCTTTTCTTGTAATTTAGTTCAAAACCTTAACCGTATTCCTGTCCCATATTCTGGAAGACTGAAAATAATATTTAGTTCTCATGTGAATTTAAAAACTATGACTTTGGCAATTACTAAAACGCCAGGTTGGTGCTTGGGCTGCTGATCACGTCCTGGGGAGAGGCCAGGCAAAGTGGCAGGGACAGTGTGCAGGCACCCTGGGGCTAAGGCTGGGCTGGAATTGTCGAAAATGTTGGGCAAAGCTGAATTTTTCAATACGATTGTACAGTACTTGTCAAGAGCCAACATGTTTCTCATATTGAGGGCTGCATGTTTTCCCTTCTCAGTTTTCTGAGAATTATTTGCATACAGGGCCTGCAGCTGGCTCGCTGAGATGTGTGTGAGCCAACAGGAAGACCTTCGAACACACACAAATTCATTTTCCTCTTAGAGCCTTTTCCTCATGTAGCCTTCTTGCTTTGGTAGTGGGCAAAGCTTTTAGTCATCATTAATCAGCTCTCAAAGCCATATTAACATTGCAACAGCATTCACTCTAACCTTAGCTATTCTATAAATGTGTTTCTTCTCAGGAATCAACTATGAATCTTGTCCAAAACGAAGTGAATGTGAGAGCAACCCTAGCTCTGTATTCTGGAAAATGGCATCCAAGATGGTAAGATCCAGAATAAATCTCCCTGAATCCAAGAATGTTGAAAGGCACTAAGCTCCTGACACTGCCAAAAATGTGAGCTTGCAGATTGGACTTAAAACATGGAATAGTAAAAGTTCTCACCAGCTTTAGCTTTAGGTGCTGAAAATAGTGGCTTTGGAAATTTGCATATCCAAGGTCCCATATTTTATGGACAATATTTAATGTCAGTGTAGTTCGGGCATTCTTATTTGTGGACGGAGACTGTGTGCCATTGTCTAGAACAACACCTGGCAGACAGCTGGAGCTTTGCAGGTAATACAATAACCACCACTTAAATTAAATGACAGGACTGAAACTGCTAAAACAAAATGCATTTTAGCATGTCGATGTTGGGAGCAGTGCCCAACTTGGCACAGAAGTTTGCCAAACGGATGAGAATCCTCGTGCACCTTTCCAGCATAAACCTGAAGAGCACATCCTCCCACAGCGGTGTCTGGCAAGGTTCCTACGGTGTACCCACCCATACGCACATGCCAACTCCCATCACATGAATGACACCTTGCTAGTCCGAGTTAAGCAGTTAGCCTGGCTTTGTTACACCAGCACTTTACAGAAAAAACCTGGTATCACCCTTGGTACAACTATTAGTAGATGACTGTCCAGGTGGAAAACAAGCATTGCTGTGTGCTTCATCTCTCATGTATGTAAGAAAAAGTCTAGTCACCATAAAAAAATTGTTTTGTGGGTAAACTAGTGCACAGAAAGTTTTCCGAGCTCAAAACAGTTTTGATGTACTCATTAATCCCTCAGTTCCAGAGTCTGTGAGAGATAAACCACCATACAGAGTCAGGCTTGCTCTACTGCAAGCTTTCTAGTCTGGATAAATTTAAGATCTACTAAAATTCATGCTTATCACATTAGAAAGTTATACATGGTCTAACTTCCCTGCAACTTCACAGCTCTCAAGAGCTGACTTTGAGCCAGATAGTTAAGATGTAAGAGGACTTGGAGGGTTTGATGAGTACAGTGATCTGTGTTAAGCTTTTCAAAAATTCTTTGTCCCACCAATGGATTACATATCTAGGGCGGGTACTTTTCATTGTAACCTTACTTAATAGTCTTTAAATATTTGGACCTGAGTTTTAAAGACTAAAGGGGCAGCAATTACAAATCAAACAAAACTCGGTGATAAGATTTGCTAAAACCATGGGGGAGAAAAATCCCAAGCTGCAAAAGAACACAGATGTGAGTCACAAGGCAACGAATACGTGATCGTTTGCATGTCCTTAAACTTGTGGTACCTCTGTTCTGGTGCATCCCCACCGTCTGAGTTAAACAGTCTGGGGATTATTCCAAGTTACTGAGGAGGGAACAGCCCCATCAGACAGCTGTAGCTGCTGGGGCTCTGGAAAGTTGCATCCCCCTACAAAAACTGGAAACAGCAGTGACAGCGAAGTTACTGTACCAATCCCACGCAGCCTCAGACTGCCAATTCATAGCTGCCTAATGCAGCTTTATGGCAGTTTTGCCATAGCCTTTAGAGACTTTTATTTCCACTGACACGTTCTGTTAAATTATTGGCGAGATCCTCTACCTGTAGAAGTCAGTTCTTATGACATCAGAGAAGTTACAGCAATTGCCGCTAGCCCTGAGTCTGGTGTGGCACTGCATGTAGTGTCAGAGGATAATGGCCATTTGTTTTGCTCAGTTTGCAGAAGCAGCATGTGGTGTGGTTCAGGTGATGCTCAACGGATCAGTAGAAGCTGGAGCTTTCAGAAGCAGCAGGTATTTACTCAGCATGCTACCATCCACATTTCTGTGGGACCTGAATGCTGGTGAATGTGTTTTTGCCATTGAGTCCCAGTGCAGAAGAAATTTTTAGAAAACTCTATATGTAGAAAACTCTCTCTCTATATATATAGAGAGAGATCTAAATGGTTGACTGTTGAAGAGATATTCACTTAACTCCTATACTGTGACTGTAATTTAAATCCTTCTGAAGGTATGTGGGTTGGATCTCCAGTATGCTATTACTCCATAAAGTAACTGTATTATTACAGTTAATCTAGATTTGTACACTATGTTATATTCATGGAACAACACATTTCTAACTGCTCATGGAGATGACTGTGCTTCCTTGGGTTACCTGGCTGGAAGTGCAGTCTTGAATAATATTGAAAGAATATGTTGGTCAGGAGAACAGCCATGTTCATTTCCCTTCCACCAGACCAAACCACTAGCCAATAACCAAACAGGAGAAAAGGCTTTAAAGGTGGGAAAACTTCAGCTTGTTTCAGTCTGCAGACAGTTTCAATAGTTCTTATGAAAGTGAAAGAAGAATGGGGAGCATATCTTCTACCACAAGGTAATTAAATAGTCTGTGAAAATCCATTGGCAAGATAACATTCTGTCACTGAGAATAGCAGCACTGGTAAGTACTAGTATTTCGGGAACATACTTTGTGCATCTTACTTAGATAACGAAGAACGTTTTGCTTTTTCATCTACCATTCTTACAGCATTTTTGGAAGTATTGAGATCTTTAATCTAAATCCAGACAGAGTCTCTGCAGTACACATTTGGCTTATGCATGACATCGGTGGACCTCAGAGGTAAGTCATGCCGGTACGAAATGACGAGCAGTGTGTAGAAGGCAGACAGTGCAGCTCAGTTCTGATGCGCAACTGTCGTAACAGTGACACTGTCTGAAATCTGCTCATGAAACCTGCCCTACATTCACTCTTCTCCCTGCTATCTTACTGGCAGGAATAACATTTGTACTGTTGTTTTTCTTTGGTATTTTTCGTAGGTACTGCTGAACAGTTCTAGCTAAGGCACAATGACATTTTCCTTGCTTTGAAGGGGTCCCATGACCTTTAAATGCCTCCCAATCCCACTGAGCTCTAGAGACCCTTATTATAGGTGCAGCACTGAAGTCACATATCAGGCTACGTTTACCAGGGTGAACAGCTGGAAAACATGTTTTTCCACAGGAATACTATAATTATGCTGACCAGAACCATTTTTGACAAAATAATTTCAAATGCAGAGGCAGATTTCCCAGAGAGGTTGTGGAGTCTCCATCTGTGACATACTCAGAACCCGACTGGCACCCTACTCTAGCTGATATTGGTTGGATGAGGAATCTCAAGCTGTCCCTTCCAACCTAAATGGTTCTGTGATTTTTAATAATAACTCTGTAGTTTAAATGCTTACCATGGAATTACTTAGATCACATTTGAGCCTTTCTGAGACCTTCATTGTCCCATTCAGATTCCTTTGCAGACCTGCCATGTTTCAAGCTTTGAGCATGAGGTTTGATGCCTTTGACCCTTGTGGTTCACGTGGTTATAATGCACTGCCATGGTTTCTCCTGTTCCTAAGGACCCCCCACACCGGAAGCAGCAGCTTTGACACAGCGGGTCGGGAAGCAGGCCGTGATGATGCAGTACAACTCATGAATGAGTATGAACTCAACAGAGACCCTTGCTCAGACAGCCTCACTGTCTGACACAGTACCAGCTCCAGTGTTGCATGTGCTCCCCTAGCCCAGACACCCCGAAGTGTCTCTTTGCCATACAAGCTGACATACCTATCACAGCTCACAGGCATGCATCTGTCTTGTGGTCAGCATGCCAGACATATTATGGTGGCTCACAGCATAGAGGTTTGCTGAAGAAAATTACATTGGATTATCTATCCATTGGTTCCACCAAGCATGGTACTTGATCCTTTTTCTCAATATTTCCCAACATCAGAAAAGCCATTATGTTCCTCCTTCTCAACAGCTTCAACAGCCTGATGCCCTGCCAGCCTTTTTGGCACATCTTCGTCCTGGGCCAAGCTCACAGCAATTTCTTTTTTTTTTTCTGCTTACTTCCATGGAGAAACAGGGAGGGTAGCTCCAATAATAATGATTTGTATTTCATGTTGAATCATTGATAACATCTGGTAAGTTTTATGAACAAAGAAGAGCTGGCTTTGCTTTCCACCAATGCCATATGTAAGGAACTGGATTTGCCTCCGTATTGTATTACTGTCCTAATGTGTGTCCTATACTTTGGACAAGGAGATTATTTTTATCCGGAGGTAATAATTTTTTTGCAGCATCTCTATCCATGTCTCGGACCTTTGTCGGTCCTCTCACTACAGCTTTGGGGCCCAGTGGGCTATTTCAAGCAAATTAAACATGGAGGTAAAGATCTCAAAGGTATGACATTGCTTCATGAAACCATTAGCTGGATGGAAGAGAAATACACAAGTTAGGGTTCCTACCAATGGAAAAGGAGTTGAAACAGCCCCTTGACAAAACAGGGTGGCAGCAGCCACAGGCTGAGTCAAACAGATAGCAGATGCTCATATCCTGCTTACTCCCATGTTTTCTTTCTGCTTATTCCTATTTTATGTCCTACCTGGGACTTAGCTGCTGGTTTTTGTGGTTGGCCCTTTCTCATCACACAGAGGACTTGATCACGTTGTCCTTCTACAGATTTGAATGAGCTTTATATCATGCTTCTGTGGGTGGAGGCCACCAGCAGCTCTGGAGCAGTTCTAGGGCACATTGACCTGTGAACAGAACCCAGTTATTTCCTACAGATATCCTCCTGCACAAAGTTCTTGTGCAAGATGCACAGTTGAACATCACATGGTTTCTACCAGCAAAGGCCCAATGGTAGCCGAAACTCCACAAACCCGATGAAATTTACAGCACGTTAGAAAACAAGCTGCGAAAGAAGCTTACCTGAAATAAAGCAAAGTGACATAGTGTGGAATTTAGCTAAGCTTCTTGTGCACACAAGGAACACAAATAACAAAAGACTTTGCTTTCCAGTGAATCCTGCTCAGGTCATTCCATAAAGAGGTTAAAAAGCATCTTAGAAGAGCGAAACTTTAAGATCACCTGTGAAGACAATTACAGGTAATTCATTGCCTGCTCTTATTGGTGTCAACTTGCTAACATAAAACTAATATTGCACTCCCTCTTGACTTAATATGGATTTCCTGGTGTACAGCAGACTAGAGCAGGCTCCCCTCTTACTGCCATCACATCGCTTGATGTGGCTGTGTGCTGCTCAGGGGCTTCCACGTGGACTGCAGACCTCACGTTGGCTGGGTCCGGGGCCTGCGCTCTGCCCTGCACTCTGGGAGGTCACTGCCGTTGCTTATGGTCCATTCCCTTCAGGAAAGGAGGAATCCAGCCACTATCAACAGGCTTTTAGCTGTGATAATCAGAACCAAGTAGGCAGCTTTCCTCCCTGCTGCTTACAGATAGCACAGTATGTCAAGGATGGTCCTCACTTACAGTTGGAGTTTACTTTCCATCCATCTGCTTTGTCAGAGAGTGAGGTGTGAGGCATGATAAGTATTATGAATTACTATAATTCCCCATTGTCAGGAGAAAAAAACAGGAGTCCAGGAAATAGAGCAGCCCAAGTTTTGACTTGTCTGAAATCTCTGTCTGCCTGCTGAGGAGATACAAAAGCCTTAGACCCTTTATCCCTCTGCGTGACTTCAGAGATCACACAGAGCAGAAGTGTTCTTTAGTGATGTTAGAAAAGCAACAAAGTTTCAGTATTACTCATAGCTTATCTGTCAGGAACAGCTTTTCAGAGTGAAGAACTCATGCTTGGATAAGAACATTTCCAAAGTAAGCAAACAGTTCTAGAAACTACAGAGTTTGTGACATTAGTTTTAGATAAGGATAAATTGGTCTGCAAAGGAGGCAAATGCTTTATCTGGTGGTAGGATTTTAATCTTGAAAGCAGAGGAATATATTCCTGTTTAGGTGTTGCTGAACCTGACTAATGGGTTCTCTGCACGTTGTGAAAAAATTAACACCAGCGTGGTGCTTAAATCTGCCAACTCATGATGCTCATGTGCTCACTTTCTCTTTGGGTAACTGCCGCATTTAACCAATACTCCCAGGACCTGTAAGCAGGCACAAATTATTTCAGCCTATGCTGAAATAATCGAAGGGGCCGAGGAGGAAGGGTAAATACGTAGTAGCTTCAATCCCTCGTGGCTCAGCACACAGAGAAACCTGTAACACATCATGAAGAGTTATTGCACACTCGTTGCTATGGCTCACAACCTGCTGCTTAAGATAGAATAACAAGTAGGGCTTTTTGTCAGAGAGCTCAGCTAACACATACATAAACAACTGTGAAGAGCAACACGGACAATTAATTTTACTATTTTATATACATAGCAAAAATAAATAAGTAATTTACCTGTGCAAGGAAACTCTTCAGGATAGATCGAACCAATAGTTTCACTCCACTGAAGTCACTGCAAACAGAACCATGTGGGGTCCGTATCAGCTGAGCATCTGCTTTTTATGCCATATAGCATTTGATACTGATCAGATGCTTTTTTTTTTTAATCAAATGTATTTGTCTTGCTTTTGTCGGTGTCAGCAGTGTCTTGCAGAAGTAACTCAAAAAATGGATTCACTGGATGTACTTCGCACAAAAAATCTAATCCTGTCTGACGTTGCTACCGACAGCTTTACAGCAGGAGTAAGGGTTACCATTGGGTAAGCAAGGTGGTGAACTTCCAGCATGGCAGCAACTCCATAGTCCGTGCAAGAGATCTTGCTTGTTTTTCATAATTATTTTTGTTATCACAACGTAGCTGACATGCTGTGAGTTCACACCCTACTTTGTTTCATACTCACTTGCTCTTGTCCTTAACCCCTATAAACATCAAAAGTTATCTTTCTGCAGCAAGATTTAAAAAAAAATTATCCTAAGAAAAGACATCCACTTGATAAGCACAGATATATTGTGCACTTTGACTTTCACATTGCATTGAGTAACTGGAGCTTTATTCTGGTGTACATGCAAAGTGATTGCTGAATATTTGTTTGCTTTTGTGTCTGATCACAGGCCGGTTCAGCTCCTTCAGTGTGTGCATAGCCCTGACCACACAGACTGCAGGCTCTGCACCAACACCACGGCAGCTCCATGAAACAGAGTGCTCTGCACCGCTGAGGACTTTCGTTATTTGTGTGCAAAGCTGGAAAAGGTGTGGCTACATAGCTTAGAGTGATTAATAGTAGTGCAGTGCGTACAGAGTCCATAACAAGAAATCCATGCTATGATACTAACAGCCAACTAGCAGGAGATGGTATTTTCGGTGTGATTACTGTACACACATGCACACGAACATCCTGTTTCAGAGAGGCTGGGGGCATGTTCAGTGGCTGAGGGCAGACGCTTTGCCCTGGTTTGCTCCCTCCTCTACAGCTCCCTTGTGCCCAGAGGCTCAGAGCAGGGACTGCCCTGGGCGTGCACAGAGAAGAAAGAGCCTTTCCAGCAGAGGTAGAACTTGCCTGGATCACCGCTGGGCTTTCTCCCTGCTGAAAGGCTGGATGGGTTGGACTCGATGATCTTAAAGGTCTTTTCCAACCTAAATAATTCAGTGATTCTGTGAAATGACCGGAGCACACTCTCACTGCTTCCCAGTGCAACATCCCCCAGAGGGGAGGACTGTCCAGTAGCACATGATACAAATTGTGTTTCTCCCAAGGACTGTGGCACCTCTGAGCAGGTAAAGCAACTGACGGAAGAGGCAGAGCGGCACTTACCTTTTAGTGGGAACCGCAGTAAGTGGCTGGGGGGGAAACGGCTGAGCCGAGCTGAGAAAAGACCAGAAACTGCTCAGAGGGTTGCCAGCATCCGTAAGAACATGTTGAGTGTGTAGCTGGGGAGAGAAAATAGGAAGGCTTGCTCAGACAGCTCAATTAAAATCCTGCTGGAAACACCGTTGCAGCTCAGATTACACTTTATTCTTAATATAGCAGTAAATGTAAACCTTCCAACTTTCATAAAAGGTCCCTCAGGCCACAGCTTGGCCATCCGCTGGAACAGAGACAAACATCAAAAGCCTGCCACAACAAGGAGTCTCTCCTGACCTCAGTTTCTGAGGTGAAAGGGGATGCCTTGCGGTGTACGATTCACAAGCACGGACGTGCCATAGTACGCTGAGACAACAGGTTTCATTGATTGCCTTTGATTTCTATTTTGCCAGTCTCATATGCATAATCAAGTGCAGTGTTTATAACAGAACAAACATCTGAGGCCAGCTTGTGGCCATGGCTGTAGTGCCTTTGTGCATGCCATTGACACAAAGAAAAGAGACCAGGATTTGCTACAGATATACTCCTAGGTGTTGCAGTGCCAGCATAACCATCGATTGCCAATTCATCAGGCAGGCTGAGGTTTCCGTGATCCCACAGGCAACAGGTTATAATGCCGTATGTTTTAGTGACTACCCAGAGTGCGAAGCATCCTTATGGAACTACACAAGCTGGTGTAATTTTGACCATCTCTAGATAAACCTTTTCTCTGTAATACTAATAAAAAAGGCCTGCACTGAACATAGCTGGACCACAGCCAAGACCTCACCCATAATGTTTACATTAAGGGAAATGTATTTTTATTTACATTCTGTTATGTAACTACTTAGACGCATCAACACAGACGCATACCAATACTTTCAACTAGGTTATTTCTGACTATAGATCAAGAGTTTGTCTTCACACTCACTTTTGTACCTCTTCTGTTGTACTATATAGAGTTGATGATAAAATCAAGATCTATAATAAAAGTGCTGATGGCAAACGTTGTTAATTCAGTTTCACATTCTGCTCAACCTCAGACTGAACATGAAAATAAGCCACTTTCTAAAAATAACTCAGAAATTCATTCAGCATATGAAACTCTCCGTATGCCCACCCAGGAAAGCAGAGGATGCTCACCGTGCGCCTCCTGCCTGGACTGTACTCTCACTACCTCACTCTCCCTCTTGTACAGAGAAGTCATCGTCTTTGTTGGTTGCTGGAATTGAAACACCCTCCCTTTATCCTGAACACAGACATCGAGATATGTATGTTGTTCTCAGCCATGTTAGTTAAGAAAGATGACTGTTCTTGTCGGTGGTTGCGTAGTAAAATGCTAAGAAGCAAATCTGTGTTTTTGAAAGCTGAGGTGCACAGTGAATACAGGCAACTGTGCTGGAAGAAGTGACAGCTTTGCAAGACAGGTGGTTGGCATGAATGTCGTCTCAGCAAAAGTATTTCGTTCAAAGGTGTGTAAAATGACACACCTTTGCAAGGAAACTTGGCAGTAAACACAATTTACATGCAGGGAAATAACTGACGTTTTTTTTAAATAACTGAACTTGTGATTGCCTGGTTTCATTCTGACTGGTTATTCTGCTGCCAGGAAGGGCTGCGAATTTTGTGGATTTGCAGGTGGATGTACTGGGAAAAGGATGCAGGACACTAATAGCTCATTTGCATTTCCCCTGATTAGCACTTGCAAAGGGAGCAGAGTCAGCCCTGGTACAGTGGCTATCCCACGCTCTGGTACGCCTCAGCCCCTTTCCCCAGTACCACTCCCAAGGCCCACAGAGCCTGGTGTCCTCTGCTGTGTCCTGCTGCTTGCCCCTGGGAAGGGAGCATTAATGTTGGCCCCCTTTATTTATTAGTACAGATGCAGTATAGGTGTACATCTGGCCACCAGCACACACTCCAGTCTGTGCTGCTGGGATTACATATGCAGCAGAACACGAGTGAGTTTATGTCCAATAAGCATTTCGATTATCCGTGATCACACATCTGAAATGCCACGCAGACAGGCCCTACCAGACAAGTGTATCTCCAAATCCTATTGCTCTGCTGAAAACTGATAAACCAAAAAACCTCCCAAACCAATACAAAGTGTCCCAAATTCGCAGAAAACTAAATAAAAGGAAAAATAATCTATGTGTTTTTCCACCTCATAGCAGAAATGTTTCTTAAAATAGTTTGAAACATGTTGGGTTTTGAAAATATGCTTTCAATCTGATGTAGCTAACCTGTGTCACAACTTGTTCAAGATAAATGGGCTGGCTTGTGCCCCAGGCCCATAGCAAACACTGCCAAAGAGCACTGCCCAGAACCCCGAGAGGAATCAGAGTGCCTGTGTGATAAGGTGATATCAACGTTATGCACTGCCAGAACCACACAGCACCGGGAAAGCTACTTCTGGGACCCTGATACCACAGCATTGCTGCTCAGCCAGTCTTCGATGTACTTAACCTGACAAGAGCCTGCAATTATTAAACTTCTTTTTGAGATTAGGAAGCAAATGAAATACAGAAAGATTTGTTCTCCTTGCTAGCTATTGCTTGGCCTGGTGTTTGATTTAAAAGATTTAAAAACCTTTCCCAGGGTGGGGAGGCTCAACAGGATGGTACACAAACAGCCGGAATTCCACTGAGGTCCACAGGCCTCGTGTCTCCTCTTGGCTGACCCCGGGTTACTGCTCCCACACCTCACCTCAGCTTCCCGAACCTCCCCGCGGCCCCCGTTCAGGTACCACCGGCTCGCTCCATTGCTTACGTGTAGGGACGGGGGTGAAATTCACAACTGTGACTACAGGCTTACATTTAAAATAACAGGCCTTACAAGTCTAGAGAAAAATTTGAAAACCGGAAATAAAAGATTAAACATGTGAAAGGCAATAAACCTTACCCTCAGCACCGGTTCTTTTTAATTTTTAGGCTTCTGTTTGAAGTTATTGTGTTGCTTTTTTTTGAGTCCAAAGTTCTTAGTGCAGTGCCTGTAATATAATCTATGGAGAAAAGTCTTCGGAGAGAGGGTTTCGGTTTTGTTTGTGTGTGTATTGGCAGCGTATAGTGCAGTGGATCGAGGTCCCCTTGGACACTAGCAACAGGGGAATGGTTTTGGATGGGACCCAACATAGCTGCAGCATCACAGGGTCTGTCTGTCAGAGGCAGAAGCTTCCCTTTGCTTGATTTGGGCTACCCTTCTTGCCTGTACCTGGGAAGACTCCCTGATGCTAAAAACAATGACCCTCAGATGTTGTCTTACATAAAAGAGCTCGGTAGAAAGAGTAGAAAAATGAGATGGGCAAGACTTCAGGTAGGAAACCCTGCGAACAGGCTGCATCTCAGAAACTCTCTCTTAATAACAACATCCTCTACAGGCTTAAGACAACAATTAAATGTGCTAACAAGCTCATCCTTCCTATTAAATAGTTTGAAAGGAGTAATGCAGTGGCTAATCCAAAGAAAACACTTTGCGTGTAAAACAAGAAGGCTGGTGAAAAGACAAAAAACAAAGATCATGGCTGAAAGACAGAAGCAAAACCACAGTAAACACAACAGGAGCTACAGTGGTAGAAGAAAAAGATATATGAAAGATCTAGCTATGCAGTTGGATACTTCCTACGTACCTGTGACCATGGCATGTCCACAAAGCCGGAGGTCTGGATTCAGTGTTTGACTAAGCCACAGAGAGCTGCGCAGGCTTAAGCAGTCCCCATGCAGCCATTCCTGTTCGCTCCTTTATCTTACAGCAGCATCCCTGTGTTCTGCCAACACAAGTGTTTCAGGAATCTACTGATGAACCAGGACCTGGGATAACATCTTTTTTTCCCTGCTTGGAAAAAGAACAGCTTATATCTAGCTGAAAAAACGTGAATCAATGGGAGTTTTGTACCTCTTGTACTTAAATCTACCCTCTCTTCATTGTCTTATTGCAACAGGCCCTGCCAAAAATCCTGTCCTCATGTTTCTTGTAAGTCCCCTTTAAGTACTGAAAGGCCACAATAAGGTCTCCCCACAGCCTTCCCTTCCCTTCCCTTCCCTTCCCTTCCCTTCCCTTCCCTTCCCTTCC